TTGTTTTTTTCCCTCCCCCCCCAAAAAATTGGAATTTCGGGATAAAATCCTGCTGGTTCGGGCTGGGGTTGGTTCAGGAGGACAGCAGCAGGGATTTCCCAGGATATCCTGATTTCCAGGATTGGGAATAGCGGCCACATCTCCTGCTTTTCTCTCGGTTTTCCAGCGCCGATTTTGTCATTCCCAACCCCGTTCCAGCCTCTCCCAATCCCAAAGATTCCCTCGGGTGCTGCCAGGGATTTTCCTGTGCAGGTTCTTCCAAGGAAAATCAGGAAAAAAAAAAAAACAACCCCAAAAGGAGTGAAGCTCATCCAGGGAATGGTCAGAGCTCCAGAAAAATGAATAGAATGGGAAAAAAAAAAAAAATCCTGGAAAACGCTCTCGGGTGGAATTTTGGGATTTCTGTGGGGCCCTTCCCGCTTTGGATATTCCAAGATTTGATGATGTAATCCCGGCAGGTTTTGGAAGTTTTTTGGGCTGACCCCTTGTGGAGACGCCGATGCCAACATCTGTATATTGCTAATTAATTAACGATAATTACGGATAATTATGGATAATCCAGGACGAGTTTCTCCTGCTTATGGCAGTGGGAATTCCCGGGATTTCCGAGGAGTTTCACATGGATTTCAAACTCTCCTGGGTGATCCCTGGATTTCGGATCAGCTCCAGAGCTCGGGGAATTTTCGGGATAAGGGATGGAGGGACAGGACTCTGGGAATGGTTTCCCGCTGGAAAAGGGCGGGGTTGGGGCGGAATTCCGGGAAAAATCCCCTGGGAGATCCCAAAAAGGCTCCCGGAGAGCTCCAGCAGGTGATGCTGTTTCCCTGGATTTGGGAATTTCCTGCGGGAACAAAAAACCCCCAAAAAATCTGGGCTGGGAAATTTCTGATTCTCCGGGAAAACTTGGGAAATTCCAAGGCAAAAAAACCTCATTTAACAAAGTTGTATTTTTTTTTTTTAATTTGTATTTCAACTCTGGTGTCATTCCCAAAATTATCCCGAGGAAGCTGAGCCTTCTCCCCCTCGGGATTTTTATCCTAATCCTGGAAAGAGCAGAGCCTTGGGCTCACAGGAAAATCTGGGAAAGGATCAAAATCCCATTTCTGGGGCATCAAAATTCCTCCCTCCAGGAGCAGGATCGGGATCCAGGAATGGGAAAAATATCCCAACAAAAGCCACGAAATTCCACCCAAATTTTCCCTTTTCCATCCAAACCCCAGCTTGATTTTCCCCCCCTTTTCCCAAGCCTTTGGAATCAGAGCTGGGAATGTGAATTCCAGAGGGAATTAATTAAAGATTGACCAACATTTCCTGGATAATTCCCTGGATAAATCCCAAAAGGGCCCTTCAGAGGCACCGCTGCTTTTATGGCTGCAGTGAGGAAATCTGGGAATTCTTTCCCTTTTATCATCAAAGGCCACTGGGATAATCAGGATCTGTTCCAGCAATCCATGGAAATGGAATTTTCCAAGGAAAAAATGAGCTCCAAGGGGGAGCTCCAAGAGATTTTTCCTTGGAATTCTGCCTGGAAGTTTCCAGAAAATTCCCATTTTTGGTCCAAACGGGCTCGTTCTGTTCCTCTCCAGACTCTGGCTGCTCTGAGTTCAGGGATCCCACGGGATCATCACCCCAGTTCCCCATTCCCAGCTCCCAGTTTCCCCATTTCCCACTCCCAGTTTCCCCGTTCCCAGTTTCCCCATTCCCCATTTCCCTCTCCCAGTTTCCCCATTTCCCTCTCCCAGTTTCCCCATTTCTCACTCCCAGTTTCCCATTTTACACTTCCCAGTTTCCCCATTCCCCATTCCCAGTTTCCCCATTCCCAGTTTCCCCATTCCCACTTTCCCCGTTCTCCATTCCCACTTTCCCCATTCCCCATTCCCAGTTTCCCCATTGCCCATTCCCAGTTTCCCCATTCCCACTTTCCCCGTTCTCCATTCCCACTTTCCCCATTGCCCATTCCCAGTTTCCCCATCTCTCTCTCCCCTTTTCAAAGCCTGGCTTTGGGGGGACACTGAGCAAAGGGGGGGACACAGGGGAAGGGAGGGGACAGTGGGACACAAGGGGGACACGGAGGGAAAATGGGGACACAGGAAATGGGGACACGGGGAAAGGAGGGACAATGAGGGAGAAAAAGGGAAATGGGGGAAAGGGGGACACTGAGGGAAGGAGGGGACACGAAGGGAAAATGGGGACACTGAGGGAAAATGGGGACACTGAGGGAAAATGGGGACACGGAGGGAAAATGGGGACACAGGAAATGGGGACACGGGGAAAGGAGGGAAAAAAGGGAAATGGGGAAAATGGGGACACTGAGGGGAAATGGGGACACGGAGGCAAAGGGAGGGGACAGTGAGAGAAAAGGAGGGAAAGAGGGAAAAGAGGGGACACGGGGAAAATGGGGACACGGGGAAAGGAGGGGACACTGAGGGAGAAAAAGGGAAATGGGAAAAAGGGGGACAATGAGGAAAAATGGGGACACTGAGGGAAAGGGGGGACATCGAGGGAAAATGGGGACACAGGAAGGAGGGGACACTGAGGGGAAAAGAAGGGAAATGAGCAAAATGGGGACACTGAGACACGGGGGGACACTGAGGTGAAGGGGGGACAATGAGGGAAAGGGAGGGACAGAGGGAAAAGGGGGACAGTGGGACAAGGAGGGGACACTGAGGGGAAATGGGGACACAGGGAAAGGGGGGACACTGAGGGAAGGGAGGGGACAATGGGACAAAAGGGGGACACTGAGGTGAAGGGGGAAACAATGAGGGAAAAAGGCGGGAAACGGGAAAAATGGGGACAGTGAGACAGGGAGGGGACACTGAGGGGAAAAGAAGGGAAATGGGGACACTGAGGGAAAATGGGGACACCGAGGGGAAGGAGGAGACAGTGAGGGAAAAGGGGGAACAGGAAAAAGAGGGGACACAGGGACAATGGGGACACTGAGGGGAAATGGGGACACTGAGGGAAGGGAGGGGACAAGGGGGGAAAAAGGCGGGAAACAGGAAAAATGGGGACAATGGGACAAGGAGGGGACCCTGAGGGGACATTGGGGACACCCTGAGGGGCGCCGGTTCCTTCTCCCACCCTGAGCAAAAAGGGAATTTTCAGGGATTTTTCAGGGAATTTTCAGGGAATTTTTCAGGGAATTTTCAGGGATTTTCAGGGATTTTCCAGGGATTTTTTAGGGAAATTTTGGGGAATTTTTGGGACGAATTCTTCCACTCAAGGGAATTTTTCCCCACTTTTTTTTTTTTTTTTTTTTTTTTTTTTTTGCCAAGACAAAAGTTCCCGAAATTCCTAAAATTAATATCAAAATTCATGAATTCTTTTTATTAAATCAAGGATTTTGGGGTTTTTTATTTCCACATTTCTGCCAAGGAAAAATTGCCTAAAATCCTCCCCAGTGAATTCCAGCTGTGAAACTCCAGGAATTCTCCCAAAAAGGGAATTTTTTTTCTGTGGGATTTGTGGATTTGTGCCCTGCTGAAAGTGTCTAAAATTTATATGAAAATCCATTGATTCTTCTGATAAAA